AAATAAATAAATAAATAAATAAAAACAAGATACTGCATTTTAAAAATAGGAAAGGGCTGGCCATATAGCTCAGCGGATTAAAGCCAGGGGCCGAGGGTTCCATCCCCAGGCCTGCCCTGCTGGTTCCAGTCCCGCCCCCGGGGTGCGCTGAGACAACAATTGAGACTGGGCGTGGTGGTGAGCCTGTAATTCCAGTTTTTGGGAGGAGGTAAGAAGGCGGATCACTCGAGTCCGATCTAGTAGTGAGACCCTGAACACCCCACAGACCCTTCCCTAAAATAAAAAAAAAAAAAAAAAAAAAAGGAGAAACCCTAAAATCACCATACTTCTCAACTCGGATCTGCCACAATGCAGGTGTTCAAGGGCCGCAGCTAGCTCGAGGCCCCACGTAACTTGTAAGAAAACCGAGTATGTACTAGGTGAGCATCACAGAAAGGGGAGTCTGGGACAGCTTTCGGGATGCCAGGGTGCAAGGTCAGGTTCTCGGGGTCGCGCCCCCTCATTCACAGGGCTGGGAGAGGCGGTAGGCGAGGAGTTCCCCAGGCTCAAAGTTCTAAATACCGGTTCCCCTGAAGAGCTGGGCGGTGTAAAGGGTTAATAGAGTTTTGTGCCTTACTTGTAAAAAATTATAAAAACCCCTTGTGCTTCCTGTTATCTGCTCTAAGAAATGTGTTTTCCTTTTCGGCTCAAGGCTGTTCAACAATAAATAACTGTTTCTCATCAAGGCAGAAAGCTAACACAAACTCCCTCCCCAACCATCTCCTGTAACGTAGTCAGCTTAAGATGTATCTTGTAAAAATATGCACTTATCTCTAAGCTGTGAAAGACCTTTTAGTTATGAACAGTTTGCAGCTGTGTCAAATGAATGCAGTTTCTGTTGTTCTGTACTAGATAACAAGTTTGCTTACCAAACTGGATGTGATTTCTGTTATAAATACCCCCTTGCTACCTACGTGTTCGGGGCCGATCAGCCTTCTCCTGCGAGAGAAGTGGCTGACGGACCTGAGCTCAGTAAATAAAAGGCTCTATTCAAATTTCTATCTGGCTGATCTGGTTCCTATGCAGAGCTGACCCATAACAGGCAGCTACTTAAGTTTCCTGAGCATCTAGGAGCCGCGAAGTCTCAGGAGCTGGGACTTAATTCTCACGCTAGATTTCTAAGGCATGAAAGGTTACTCCGAAGGAGCACCGGAATTCAATTCAAAAGGGCTGAGGGATGTGAGTGCCGTCCTCTGCACATTGTCTGCGACCTGTGTCTACAACCACCGACCACACGTACAATAAAAGTTACCGCAGACGGCTGACAGCAAGTAGAAGGCTGACGGCAAGTCGGGGAGACCCTACTTCACTGAGAACTGGAAACCCCGCAAACTGCCTTATAACCGGCGGAGCCCCGGGCTCCTTCCCTCATCCACCACTCGCTCTCCTCCTCCGGAGGAAAGGGCCCAGCTCTCCGTTGCTCTGCTACTGAAAAAAAGCGGGCTGAGACGCGCGCCTCCGACCGAACGCCAAGCCCCCTGCTTCAGAACTCACCCCTCCGCGGGGATCGGCTGCGGCTGCGGCCCATTGGGAATCCTACTTCTCCTCACAGCGCCCCGGAAACGGCTGTGCAACAACATCCGGGGAAGCCAGGGACTGAGCCTGAGCTTCCGACTGGAAACCAACCCGACAAGTCTCTTGGGTTCCGGGCCGTAAGAAGGTAGGGTGCGTCAGGACCCAACACCGCCACATGTGAGCACGCAGATCTACTGTCACAGCTTTGTCCACCCTCGGCGTTAAACTGTGCAGCATTTGATGTACTTGCAAGGAGTGTCTGGAGAATGCAGCCATATAGGAACAAACTTAGACCAGTTTTCATTTCCCCTCAGTTTTTTCTAATCTTTGTCCACGTGCATAAAATACATTAAGCAGTTTAAACATAGCCTAGGCAAGTAGGTTGTGTTTTCCAGTTTTTTCGCATAACATTGTCTCATAAGGAGTGAAGACACCAGAGTTCACCGCACATCAGTTTTCCATGTTCTCCGATGCTAATCTTTTTTTTTTTTTTCCCCCCTAATGATAATCTTGAGAAGGCACTCAAAAATCAATATGGGATTCTGTAGGGAAAAACAAAGCTTATATAATTACAATCTTAGTCCCACAGAATATCTCCCTAAGCTGCCCAAACTCTCCAAATGTAGGTTTTATAATGCTCAAAATGGAGCTAAGTGGGGTGGTGCATGCCCATACTCCTAAAAGGCTGAGGCAGGAGGATTCTCTTGAGTTTGAAGGCAGCCTGGACCACATAGTAAGTTCAAGGCCAGCCTGAATTACAGTGGGAGCTTGTCTTGCCATGCATTTCAGGCTGGTCTTGAGCTCACTTTGTAGCCCAGGCTGGTCTTGAACTCCCAATCATCAGGCGTCTGCCACCATGCCCGGCTGACCACAATGGTAATTCTTGGCTGGCATGGGACCTTGCTTTAGTGATAATAGAAATTAAAACTAAAGTGGCAGGGGGCCTGCCCCTTAGCTCAGTTCTTTAAGTGGCTGCTTCAACAAAGCAGTCAGGCTCAGGTTGCTGTGGTTCGATCCCCACAACACAAGACAGCCAGTCATGCCTTGAAGGCATTCCGCGCAAAAAAAAAAAAAAAAAAAAACCCAAAGTGGCAGTATGACTTTACAGGCAAAATCTTTAATTGGAGGGCCAGTCAGATAGCTCCGTGGATTAAAGCGCCTGGTAGATGCAGGGGCCAGGTTCGATTCCCGGCCTGCTGTGCTGACCCCACCCCCCGGGGCACATTGAGACTGAACATGGTGGCAGGCACCTGTAATCCCAGTGTTTGGGAGGCTGAAAACAGGATGATCACTATGAGTCCAATCTACATAGTGAGACCCTGCAGACCCTGTACTAAATATGAAAAAGAATATCTTTAATTGGAAGGTAAGAGAAGATGAGGAAAGGATTCCAGCTTGAGTAGTAACTGGAGAAGGCACACTGACAAAGAGGATCAGAAACAAGGGAGTTGGGGGCTGGGGAGATAGCTCGGTAGAGTAAGTGCTTGCCTGGCAAGCGCAAGGGCCTGAGTTCAATCCCCGGTTCTGCCAAAAAGAAAGAAGGGACTGTGGTTTTGGGGCGTGTTGACAATCGTTACTTAAGTACTAGTTTTGTAGCTTCAAAGGAGTCCTCATGATGAGGGGCAGTTTGGTTCCCCTGTGAGGAATCCTCCTGACGTGGGGAATATGCCCCAGGCTGTTTGCTACTGTTGAAAGCTCTGAGAGGCTCACCATCCATGACAGATTTAGGGCTATGGAGGTTTCTGGGTGTTCTTCTTGAATGGTGATAAGATACAGTAGATACATTTAGGGATAAGAAACATGTTTTTACCAACTTTTTTAAAAAAATTTTTTAAAAGAACTTTATTTGTGTGTGTGTATGTGTGTGTGTGTGTGTGGCCAGCTCAGCCCACCAGGGGGCAGGGCTGGCTGGCATGTGGTGCTGGGGGATTGAACCGCGGTCCCTGTGCTTTGCTAAGCCCGTTCCAAGCAAGTCGGGATGGGGGCGCGAACGGGCGAGCTCGTGCTCCAGAGCCCAGCGCGGAGACCGCTGCGCTAGGTCACCGCCCTTTTACCAACTTTTAGATAGACATTTTTCACTTGATTAATATGCCTATATGGGGCCAGGAAGATAGCTCAGTGGCATTGAGCACATGTCTGACAAGCACAAAGTCCTGAGTTCGATCCCAGTACCAAAAAACCCCCAAAAAGTTGGCCGATATAGAGTTGAGAAGGATTTGACTCAGATTTTTACAAAAGGAAGGTCAGGTTTTATCCTATTTTTAGTTGGCTATTGGGCTTCTGTAGGCAAAAATCACTTTTCACCTGGGAAGCTCAAGGTCCTGAGTTCAATCCCTGGTATGGGGGGAAAGCAAGGAATCACTTTTTTTTTTTTTGGCAGAACCAAGGATTGAACTCAGATCCTTGCGCTTGCCAGAGAAGAAGGAATCACTTTTAAACACAAATCATGTGGGCTTAGGATATAGCTCAGGGGCACAGTGCCAAGCTTGAGGTCCTGAGTTTAATTCCTGGTTACTCCCCCAACACAACAACAACAACCCCCACCCCCCGCAGATCATGTTCTTAATGGTTAAGGGACCAGGAGGTGGATTGTCTGCTCCCCTTATGGTAGCCCCTGTGTCATCATGATCGACGACATTGTCCATAAGGAATAGGGAAATTATGGGGAGTGAAGGGGCTGTGCACTAGAGCTCTTAGGAGAACATGGAGCCTCAGGTAACTAAAAACATTTCTTCTCCCCACCACCTGCAACAGTTGGAGGCTCATCTGATAAAAAAAATTTTTTTCCAAAAAAAAAAATTTTTTTTCAAGAAGCTCCTGCAGGGCTGGCAGATAGCTCAGCAGTCTGTGCCTGCTTGTCAAATGCAAGGACCCGAGTTTGATCCCCGCCACCACATTCGGCACTGGCCCTGCCCCAGGCACACTGAGCTGGCCACTGAAACTGGATGTGGTGACACGCACACCTGTAATTCCAGCACTTGGGAGGCTGAAACAGGAGGATCACTATGAGTCTCAGCTGCATAGTAAGACCCTGAATCATATATATAAAATTAAAAAAAAAAAAGAAAGACACTCCTACAGTGGCACTCATCTGTAATCCCAGCACTTGGGAAGCTGAGGCAGGAGGATCATTGTGAGTTCAAGATCAGCCTGGACTACAAAGTGAACTCAAGGCCAGACTGAACTGTATGGTGAAACTTTGTCTCCAAAAGACACACACACACACACACACACACACACACAGAAACCCCTGCAGGACTTCTAGAAGTTGCTGGGAGATATGTTGAAGGTCAGTTCAATAAATGAGTACTTTTAGGGCCAGCGAGATAGCTCAGTGGACTAAAAGTCTGCTTAGGCAAGCACAGGGAATTGATTTTGATCCCTGGTACTACATGCCTCACTGGCCCTGCCCCTGGGCACACTGAGCCAGCCACCTAGTCCAGGGTATGGTGGCACATGCCTGTAATCCCAGGACTAGGGCTGTATAGTGAAACCCTGTACCAAATACATTTAAAAATAAATAAGTACCTTTAATATCTATTCTGAGTAGTACACCATACGGCTTCAGCATGAGGATGAAAAGAGGAGAAACATGCTTCCTGCCTCAAGGGGCTTACAGCCTAGGTGTTACAGGGAAAGAGACATTATTTTATTTATTTTTTATGTATTTAGTACAAGTTCTCACTACACAGATCAGACTCATGATTCTCCTGATTTCAGCCTCCCAAGCACTGGGATTATATGCATACGCCATCATACCTAGTCTCAACCGCCCTCTCAGCGCACCCCGGGGTCGGGGCTGGCACTGCACACCAGGGATTAAACCCTGTCCCCTGCACCTGCCCAAGCAGGTGCTCTTATCCACTGAGCTATCAGGCCAGCCCTGACATTTTCTGTATAATATGGAAAGGTAAGAGGTATGTGCTGTGGAAGCCGACAAGCAGGACAAGCAGTCTAACATCATATTCCAAAAGGGTGTCCTGGAATGATAGCACCACCTGTCATTAGGTGTTAGCTGTATGCCAGATAGCTATAAAAACTAGTTTGTTGAAACCTGAGACTCAGAGTTGTCCAGGCAAAGGGTAGGAGCCACTGCAATAGCAAGGAACCGAGGAGCATCACACCGTGCAGACCCTGTGAACAGTTTGCTGTCATCGCACTGAATCTGTTGTGGGCAGACCGGCTATGTGTCTGGCACTTGGTCCTTAACCTGATAAAAGCCACTGAGCATTTTAAACTGGACAATTACATGATCAGGTTTGTTTGCGATGTTCCATTTTGGCTGCCAGATATAAAGACTGAGCCAGAGAGAACAGATGGAGGTCACGAGGACCTGTACTGGCTCAGGGTGGATGAGGAGGAGTGGGGAGAACAGAATCAGGAAACACAGGCAGCAACGTGGCAGCTCTAGAAGGCTGGCGGCAGGAAGGGAGAAGTTATGTTGCCAGCGCGTTCTTGCTACTGTTTGTACTGCATTGGGCGGGACCTCTTAGCAATGACTATTAAGTCAGAAAGCGAGCAGTGTCCTCTTCATCACCGCTGGAGAAAACCGTTTCATAATGAAATTGACTTAGGGTTTGCCCTGCCTAGAATCATGTCCTCAGAGCCCAAGATGGTGTGAGAGAGAGGGACACCGTGACTGTGTGTGCCTCTGGTCACAGCTGAGGCCTCAGTGGTCCCGTGGTGCTGTGGTGCCCCAGGGTAAGATTACATCAGCTGACGGAATCCAGGTTCCTTGAAAATGCAGTAATACTAAAAATAGCTTCACCTTGGGGAAAGGACAAACTCCTTAACCTGCCATCTCTTCCTCAGTAACTTAAGCTCTCATTAGCATGAACGGACTGGATTGCTGTGTGTGCACACAGGGGCTGCCCATCTTGAGGCACTGACCTCCCAACGCCCTGTCACACATGACTAAATTTTTTTTTTTAATTTTTATTTATTTGTGTGTGTGTGTGTGTCTGTGTGTGTGTGTGTGTGTGTGTGGCCAGCTCAGCCCACCAGGAGGCGGGGCAGGCTGGCATGTGGTGCTGGGGGATTGAACCGCGGTCCCTGTGTTTTGCTAAGC